CCCTACTGCATTGTTGGTGGGAATGTAAACTTGTTCAATCACTTTGGAAAGTAGTATGGAGGTTTATCAAAATATTCCACATAGAGCTCCGCTATGACCCAGCAATCCCACTATTGGGCATTTACCCAAATGATCACAAACAAGACCATACTAAAGTTACCAGCACAACTATGTTTGTTGCAGCATTATATACCATAACTAAGATATGGAACCAACCCAGAGGCTTCTCAGTAGATGAATGGATCAAGAAAATGTGGTATATATATACAATGGAATTCTATACCTCCATCAGAAAGAATGACATTGCCCCATTTGTTAGGAAATGGGAAGACTTGGAAAAAATTATATTAAGTGAAGTAAGCCAGGCCCAAGGAAACATAGGCCCCATGGTTTCCCTTATTTGCAATAACTACTATATGTCTGAGACAAGCAGAAACGGTCACATAAGTTGATGTTAAGCAAAATGAACCCCAAGATAAGGATTCAAATGTTTTTTTTTCTTTCTTGCTAATATATTTATAAGATGATTTCTTTGCATGTCCCTCCCCCACGGTATAATCCCTGTTTTCTCTGTATTTGATGTGGGTATAATTTGTGGAGGGGAAGAGAAAAAACAAAGTGTTTAAATAGGGATGCAAGTGGACGCATTGCAACAATGAGATGTACAAGAAGTTATGTCAAAAAATGAACTTTACAAATTTGGTGTGGGGGGGAGGAGAAGGGGGTCGCGCTGGGGGGGCGGGGGTAGTGCCCCCTTGCCCATATAACCCTTGCCCATATAATTGTAACCCCTCTGTATGGTATTTTCACAACTTAAAAAAAAAAGAAATTAGAAATTTAAGGAATGTACCTCAAACATTATAAAAGCTTTTATGAAAAATTTATAGACAATAGCATTTTTTTTCACTCAACATTTTAAATTGAGAAAAACTGAAATCATTTCTTCTAAATTCAATAAAAAGAATAAAAGGAATTCAAATAGGAAAGGAAGAAGACAAATTTTTCTTATCTATAAATATAAACCTATGGTTAAAAAATCCTAAAGATGCCAATAAACAAAAACCTCCTAGGTTTTATAAACATATTTGGCAAAGTAACAATACACATGTGTTAATAGGTCTTTTATTTACAATGAACAGGATAAGAAGGTACCAGGAAAACATTCCATTCACAATAATCTCAAAAGAAAATACCTAGAAAGAAACTTAACTAAGGGGTAAAAGAACACTAAAATGAAAACTATAAAACCTTGAAAAAAGAAATTGACCAAGACCCAAAAATATGGAAAGATTTTGCATTTCATGGATAGCAAAATTACTATTATCAAAATGATCGTACCACCAAACAATCTCAAATTCAGTGCAATTACTAGCAAAATTCTAGTATTAATCCTCACAGATTTTTTTGGAAAAAATCAATCTTAAAGTTCATATAGAAATATAAAAAATATCCTAACAAGCAAAAAAAGCAATTCTAGAGGTATCTCAATATCAAACTTCAAATTCTACCACAGAGCCACAGTAATAACACAGCATCTTACTTGTACAAAAGACATAAAAATGCCAATGGAATTGAATAGGAACCCAGAAAGAAACCTACATAGCTATAGCTATATGATCTTTGACACAGGAAACAAAACCATACATTACAGAAATAATAGCCTCCTTACCAAATGGTGCTGGAAAACTAGATAGTCACATATGGAAAAAAAAAAAAAAAACTACCCTCTTACCTCTTTTCCTATACAAAAATCAATTCAGCCCAAGTGCTGATGGCTCATGCCTGTAATCCTAGCTATTCAGGAGGCTGAGATCTGAGCATTGTGATTCAAAGCTAGCTCAGGCAATCATCAAGAAACAAGCAAAACCTGGTGATAATACAAGATAAAAATAAACTTTCATATACTGTTAATGCAAATATAAAATAGCACAACTTCTATGGACATTTCTATGAAGATTCATCAAAAAAAATCTTATGACCCTATAATACCATCCTTGGACATATCTCAAATGAAGTGTAAATCAACATGCCAGCGAGATACCTGCACATCCATGTTTATCACAGCATTATTTGTGGATAACTGATTTTGAATCAGCCCAGGTGCACAAAATCCAATGAATTGATTATAAAAATATTATATATAATGTATATGTATATTATATATATATCCCCACAATGAAATTATTCAGCAACAAAAAATGAAATTGTATCCTTTGCAAGAAAATTCATGGAACACGTAATCATCATGTTGAGCATAAAGCCAAGCTCAAAAATCCAATCAAATGTCTTTGTTTATATGAATAAACTAGACCCAAAACTTTTCATGATGCTGGGTCCTATAATCCTAGCAACTCTGAAGGCTGAGATCTCAGGATCAAAGTTCAAAGCCAGCTTCAGAAGAAAAGTCCATGAGACTCCAATCAACCACCATAAAAGTCAAAAATGTACTAGTCTTGAGCAAAAAGCTCAGGGATAGCACCCAGGACCTGAGTTTAAGTTCCTAGGACCAGCATAAAAAGAATTTTTTGATGATGATGATAATGATCATGATGATGATGATAGGACATGAATGGAAAAGGGGGGCTATCTAGAATAAGGGGAAAAGGAAAAGACAGGGTATTGAGGGGTGAACAGAATCTAAGTTATTACTTCATGAAACCCATTATATGCCTTTTTACAAATGGAGAAGGAAGCTGGACACCAGTGGCTCATTCATGTAATCCTAACTACTTAGGAAGCTGAAATCTTAGGATCACAATTCAAAGCCAGCCTAGACAAAAAAAGTTTATGAGACTCTTATCTCCAATTAGTTACCAAAAGCAGACATGAAGCTGTGGCTCAAGTGGTAGACCATTAGCCTTAATCAGTAACCTCAGAGACAATGTCCAGGCCCTGAGTTCAAGCCCCAGAGTTGGCAATACATACATACATATAAATAAACAAATAAATATAGGGGAGGAGGGAGAGTTGTTAGGAAGTACAATAAATCTAAAGATAAACTTGTTCAAAATACATTGTACATGTATATGGAAATATCACAACGCAGTTCTCTTGTACAACTACTACATGCTAATAAAATAAATTGGTAAATTTTAGAAAATCATTTACACAAACATAAGCATTATACCAAGTATAAAAACCATCTAGTAACACCACTTTGGGATGGACTTCATAACAGTAAACACAGGCTGTGCTCAATGCTGGTCTTAAAAAGGGCTCTAAGGGGAAAAAAAGTGGGGGGAGGGGGGCCCTAGGTGCCAAAAATGTATGGTGTGAAAAAAAACAGCCTCTGCAATAAAAGGTACTGGGAAAACTGAACATTCACATGAAGAAAACTAAAATTAGATCCTTGGTTGTCACCATCACCAGTATCAACTCAAATTGGATCACAGCTCAAGATGAGACCATAAACATTTAAACTATTGCAAGATGAATCAGGAGAAATATTAGAACTTATAGGAACAGCAGAGAGGAGAGGAACTTTACAAATATGAGTACATCATAATAAAAAGTTTCTATACAGCAAAATCACTAAACTAGAAAGACAGCCAACTGACTGGGAGAAGATCTTTACTAGCAATACATCCAACAAAGGCCAAATCTCCAAAATATACAAAGAATTCCAAAATTACCCTCATCCCGAAAATAAAACACTAACCAAAGAACAAAAGGGCAAAGGAGCTAAAGAGAGACTTCTCAGAAGTAAGAATGGCAAATAAATATATGAGAAATTGCTCAACCCTGGCCATAAAGGAAATGCAAATAAAAACTACAGAAATTCCATCTCACCCCAGTTAGATTAGCCACCATCAAGAATTCAAACAACAACTGCTGGCAGGGATGTGAGGAAAAGAAATCCTAGTGCACTGCTGGTGGGAATGTAAACTAGTATAACCATTCTGGAAGGCATTTTGGAAGTTCCTCAAAAAATTAAACAGGGGCTGGGAAGGTGGCTCAGTGGTAGAGCGCATGTCTTGCATGCCAGAGGCCCTGGGTTCGATTCCTCAGCACCACATAAGCAAAAAGAAAAAAGCCGGATATGGCGCTGTGGCTCAAGTGGTAGAGCGCTAGCCTTGAGCTGAAGGGCTGAGGGACAGCGCCCAGGCCCAGAGTTCAAGCCCCATGACCGGACCCAAAAAAAAAAAAAATTAAAGAATTTCCCTATGACCCAGCTATACCACACCCAGAATGTTACAAGTCACTTGTACATCCGTGGCCACTGCTACACTATTCACAGTAGCCAAATTATAGAAACAGCTCATATGTCTTACAGTAGATGAGTGGATCCAAAAAATACGGTAAATATATACAGTGGAATTTTACTCATGCATTAGAAAGAATATAATACCATTTGCAGAGAAATGGATGGACCTAGAATATATCATGTTAAGTGGGGTAAGTCAAATTCAGAGAGACAAATTGCACACGTTTTTTCTCATATGTAGAAACTAGATCTAAAATATAACTAGACATGATACTTATATGGGACTCTAGGCATTCACACACATATCAGAGCAAAGGAGGTTATTTTTAGGGAAGGAGGAGTCCAAAGGCATAACTCTTCTAAACATTTAAAATACTATTTAACAAAATGAATTCCAGGAAACAGAATGTGGGTTATTTATGTTGTTCTTGGTGATGGTAGTGATGTTTATGTGTTGATTTTTATATATTTTTTTCTTTTTTGGCTTTTTGGGAGTGCACAGAAAGGGAAGGAGGAAGGGTGAACAAAAGCAATCATGGCATTCAATATACACTATGTAGAAAATGAACTATGTAACTGTGGGCAGGGACAGGAAGGAGAAACTAGGGGAAAGCAAAGAAAGGGATGATATTGTCAAAAAGAGAAATGCACACATTACCTGAATTATGAAATTTTAACCTCTCTGCACACACTTTAATAATAACCATACATTTTTTAATTAGGGCTCCAGTATCATTTTAAAGACAAAGAACTACAGATGACCTGTGGAAAAATTGATGGTAAACTGCCAACTCACCATGGGAATACAAGGTCAGCCACTGTCAGTCCTGCAGAATACACATGTACAAACAGTAAGAAAGAGGATTCTAGGATATTAATACTCAAAATGGATTCTATTATATATATTTTCACAAAAAGTAAAACTCTGTCTAGTAAAACTTCTGGTCTAGGGGCTGGGAAGGTGGTTCAGTGGTAGAGCGCTTGCCTTGCATGCCTGAGGCCCTGGGTTCGATTCCTCAGCACCACATAAGCAAAAAGAAAAAAGCCGGAAGTGGCACTGTAGCTCAAGTGGTAGAGCGCTAGCCTTGAGCTGAAGAGCTGAGGGACAGCGCCCAGGCCCAGAGTTCAGGCCCCACGACCGGACCCAAAAAAAAAAAAAAAAAACTTCTGGTCTAGGACACTTCCTGACTCTTCACTTATTGTTTTGCAACATAGTACAAAAATATAGAACATATTTAATTGTGCAAAAGAGAAGGTAGTGCTTAAATACAAATGGGATATACAAAGCCGGGCGCTGGTGGCTCACGCCTGTAATCCTAGCTACTCAGGAGGCTGAGATTTGAGGATCACGGTTCAAAGCCAGCCCGGGCAGGAAAGACCGTGAGACTCCTATCTCCAATAAACCACCAGAAAACCGGAAGTAGCGCTGTAGCTCAAGTGGTAGAGCGCTTGCCTTGAGCTGAAGAGCTGAGGGACAGCGCCCAGGCCCAGAGTTCAAGCCCCACGACCGACAAAAAAAAAAAACAAATGGGATATGCAATTCTTGTTTTAAATAAATACGTAAATACAGCCATCTGGAATCTTAGGTCTGAGTTGCAAAGCTGCTTTACCAGGAATCAGTCTGTGGAACAAGGTGCTAATTATCAAATATGATCACAAAGAGTCCCTCTTAAAAACCTTCCCCGGTCCTCTATAGACATGATTTGTACAGGTCAAAGAAAACTGAAATGTCTCAAAAGTCAATCATCTCTAATAGTCAAGTTTATTACATTATTCTCTTGGTTCCCATAAAATGTACTCCTAAGCCAACTACCAAGCCATACTATTCAGCACCATTCATTGATGGCACATCAAGAAAAATTAAGTTTTAGAAGGCATAATCTCTAAGGATATGGTGGTTGTCCTACCTACACTGTGACAAGAATCATTTGAAACTAAATTCTGAGTTATACACTCTCAGCAGAAATCTTCAGTCTTCATGTTATTATAGAAAAGCAATCTAGACCAATAAACTATAGAGCCACAGCACACAAGCAGGCTCAGTAGCTAGGACAGGCTAGTATGGTCTTATCTATGGAGTTTCTGGAGAGAGTGCTGAGGGATCTTCCTGTCCGCTAGTTGCTTTGAGAAGAACTATGAGCAATACTACCTTTGGGGAATATCTTACCATTCCAACTTGAATGTTTGAAGTACCAATATTTTCCTCCTCCATAATTAACAAATACCATGAGGGTAAGAGCTATCCTGAAAGCAAATGGAAAGAGTACTTTCAGTACTTTCAATATGACAAGAAATGATTGCAATATCACAAGGAATGATATTCACACTCACAAAGTACATCATGTCATACCATGATTAACAGGTCAATTTATAACACAAGAAGAGATTTAAAGAGCAAGACATTATTATCTTCTAGTCACCTCAGTTGGGACCATACAACTGAAGTTCAGTTGCTATTCCAATATATCTTAAGGAACTGTTAAAGAATGTAAAAAGTCATTTGAATCAGAGAGCTAAAGACTTGTATCCTGGGTCTTTTCCTTTTAGCAAACTAACTCTGAGCAATCATCTCACCACATGTAACTAAGTGCTTGGTATATTTTAGGCACTTGATGTTGGCTTCTGCCTATTTGTGAACAGCTTATCTCTAGAAGTGGAATAATAATAAGAAAGAGGAATACAATAAAATATACCAGAATATACTGTTTAATGAAAGAAGACTTTAGTACAATAAAGTAGCAAAGTGAGATATCTGTAACCCAACTGCCTAAAATCAAATTCTGGCTGTCTCATTTAGAACCTGAATGACTGAGAAAATATTCAACTTAGTCTATTTTTTCTTCATCTGCGAAACAAGCAAATTAAGAGGACATACCTATAGAATTGTTAAAGAGATTAGGTAAACTAAGACAAGAGCAGTGGCTGACACAGAACTCAAGATCTTTTAGCAATTTTATCTCTAAAACCTCAAAATGCTTCAAAATCCAAATTTTAAGTGTTTCTATGAAGCCATGAGTCATAAATTCTACATCTGATCTCTTATGACAGCTCATAATCAAAATACAGGCATGGGGCAAGCAGTGTAACTCAGTTGTAGAGCATATAAGCCCTTGATTCAATTCCCAGTACCAAAATAATCACCACTAACAGTTTAAGGGGGGAAAAGCATGCTAAAAATATTTCCAACAGGAGGAGGCTACAATGCTTGATAAGAAATGTACTCATTATCTTGCCCATGTAATTGTACAATATTTTCACAATAAAAAAATAAAAATAAAATATTTCCAACAATTTTTGATAAGAGAAACTCTACCAGTATTACTTAGCTTCTAATACTTTATCAAGAGAACTCAGAACTCACTCTGCAGAGACTAGAAAGAAAGGATAAGGTTATTACTGGAGTTTTAATGCCTTCAGTGGGTGGAAATGGAAGACCTAATACCTATATATATTTACTTTTAGCTATATGGTTTTATATTTTATTTTCAGTTTGGTTCTGCCCTTCATTCAGATCTAAAACCAATTAACAACAATTTGTGACACGATGTTGGATCTGCTATGAAAAGGGCCTGATATTCAGGTTGTTCTGCTGGTGCTGAAAGATAAATACTTTCTGAATGTTGAATGTTGGTATTTTCTTAGTAGACTGCTGCATCTTCTAAGTTGTCAGACTACTGGCTGGAGGTGGTGGCACAGTTTATTGCACCATGGCCCACTTTCTCAAATGTAAATGACCTTACCTCGACAGACTGCACATGCTAGTAAAAACCAGTTCACTCCTACTATGCCTCTATTTTAAAATATTATATTACATATCAAGAACTTGCAAGAGAACGCACGTACCCTCTGAATGTGTCCACAGAGCAGAGACGGTGTGGCAGGGTAGGCAGGTGTCGTGTTTCTGATTGGCAGACAGCACTGAGAGGGTCTTCCCTGCTTGGGGATCCGAGCTCCTTCAAAAAGCAGAGAGATCCATTCAATAATGCCAAGTAGTGTAATATGTTTATTACTTGGTATTTAAGGGACGATATTAGAGTAGAAAGACAAAGATAATTTTCAATTTACATTTGTAAAGAGAGCATCAGAGGTACATTTTAGTGAGCTTGCCAGTGTTCATTTGTAATGACACAAAGAATTGGTTCTTTTTTTTTTTTTGTCGGTCATGGGGCTTGAACTCTGGGCCTGGACGCTGTCCCTCAGCTCTTCAGCTCAAGGCGAGCGCTCTACCACTTGAGCTACAGCGCCACTTCCGGTTTTCTGGTGGTTTATTGGAGATAGGCGTCTCACGGTCTTTCCTGCCCGGGCTGGCTTTGAACCGCGATCCTCAGATCTCAGCCTCCTGAGTAGCTAGGATTACAGGCGTGAGCCACCAGCGCCCAGCTAAAGAATTGGTTCTTAAGTGCGTCGTGTACACAAGTATACATGCTGATAATTTATTAGCACAAATTTAGTGACATGTTTAATCATTAAACTATCAGTGTTTATGTATTTAAAATTCATGTTCTTGATTTCTTTTTTATTTATTTATTTTTCTCTTTATTTTCTTAATTGGAAAGACTGCAAGAATGGAAAATGTCTCCAAACTACACAGTAATGTGGCCCAGACTTCCAGCATCATTAAAGAAAAGAAAAATGGAACCTTCTTAAGAGCTGAGGTCAAAATTGTTTTTTATTAAGAATATATGTCTTGAAGGACAGGGCAGAGGGCCCAAGGTTTTTGCAGACCCCGAAGGGGAACTGTGTGGTGGAAGTCACCGGAAACTGAGCATTTCCGATCTGCTTAGTAAACCTGGTTCATCACCATGCTGGCTGCAAGGCTTACGTTACACTACCTTCCAGGGTTTTCCACCCAGCTTTCACCAAGGCTTCCCCCCCTCTCCCCCTTGTGAAGAATTTCATCACAAAGAATCAATGGCTCAGGGGCTGGGAAGGTGGCTCCGTGGTAGAGCGCTTGCCTTGCATGCCTGAGGCCCTGGGTTCCATTCCTCAGCACCATATAAGCAAAAAGAAAAAAGCCGGAAGTGGTGCTGTGGCTTAAGTGGTAGAGCGCTAGCCTTGAGCTGAAGAGCTGAGGGACAGCGCCCAGGCCCAGAGTTCAGGCCCAACAACCAGACCCCCCCCCCCAAAAAAAAAGATCAATAGCTCTTAACACCCAGCAGGAAATATGCCACCTAGACAAGAATTGGGATGTGCCTTGGAAAAACTGCCCAAGAACTCAAAGATGCCACATTTGAGCCATCAATGGAAAAATTGACCAGATGGGATAGTGGTTTGTTGGGGGGAGGCCTGCTGTTGGTCTTGGTGCACTGTGTTACTGTGGCTTGGGAATGTCTAATGAGATTAGAACTATTGAACTATAGTCTGAACTATAATCTGGCCTCAGTATGTGATGGATACAAAACATTCTACCTGTATGTACTTAGCATAAAGTACTGGTGTTAACAGCTTTGTCTGCTTTGGCAATAGCCAGATCTCCTGTTCTTATTAATTTCATGCTGAGAGGCTCTTGGGTGACAACTGGCGCAACCATTGCAGCCATGATTGGAGCTGGAATGCTAGTACAGTCCATATCCGACCACCAGAACAAGGGCCCGAAGCATCTTGCTTGGTTGCTACATTCTGGTGTGATGGCTCCTCTGACAATACTAGGGGGACCCCTTCTCATAAGAACTGCATGGTACACTACCGGCATTGTAGGAGGCCTCTCCACTGTGGCCATGTATGCTCCCAGAGAGAAGTTTTTGAAATGGGTGCCCTACTGGGAGTGGGCCTGGGTCTTGTATTTGTGTCTTCACTGGGGTCCATGTTTCTGCCACAGAACACTGTGGCTGGTGCCATCCTGTACTCAGTGGCAATGTATGGTAGATTAGTTCTTTTCAGTATGTTCCTTCTATATGATACTCAGAAAGTAATCAAATGTGCAAAGAGAACACCATTGTATGGACAGAACAGCTATGATCCAATCAATTTGATGTTGTGTATCTACATGGATATACTGAATATTTTTATGCACGTCACAACTATGCTAGCAACTGGAGGTGACAGAAAGAAATGAAGTGACAAATTCTAACTCCTCCATCTGTTGAACAGGAGCAGATATTCACTGCAGTTTGGACAAGCAGCTTTCATTGAAGTTTAGAGGATAAGAACCTGTCAACATGTTTGAAATGTTCCAGTAATGTGACCCTTTAGGTCTGCTTTTTCTTCTAGAGAATAAATTCAGTAGTGCTCTTCCAGATAAGAAATCTTTTCAAACTTTGCATGTAAATATTCCTAACACACTAACAAATGTGAAAACTAAAGATTTGTGTCATGAGAATTTAAGTGTATTAGATTAAGAGTTAGCCTATGTATTTTGGTAGATGCAAAATATTGTGATGTTATAAGTGACTCCAAGGATTTGATACAGAGAGCAGAGAAAGGCAGTCATAGGACTTAGCCCTAGTGAACATTATTTGGTGTATTTGAAAATAAACAACTGCTGTTTTTTTTCATTAGCCTGTAGAAGAAAAATGCAGGATTTCTTCTTCTGTTCTTTTCCTTAGTACTCTTTTTCCAGTGTTGATATGTTGTTACAGTCCAGAATGTGAATCATATGGAGACCCTGATAGAATTACGTGTGTGTGTGTGTGTGTGTGTGTGTAAGAAAGAGAGAGAAAGAGAGAGAGAGTTTTATATTGAAATGTCTAAAACAAAGTATCTTACTCTCACAAGTATGATATTTGATGCTTTTGTCAGGTATACATGAATTATATTCACTAGCTGCTGAGTTTTGTGCATATTTATTGAATGTCTAATTGAGATACATGCTTTCATTTTTTCATCTCAAAGTTTTGGACTTTGTAGCTTACTTTAGAGCTTTTGGACATTTGTAGCTTACTCTAGAGATTGTGAAAATGTTTTACTCCTGAAACTGTGGTTGTTGTTGTTTTTCCATTTCCTCTCAGACTGAACATTGAAAAACAAAGCAAAAATTATTTTTTTCTTTAGAGTATGTATGCATCAAAAGTGTACTTGGCGAGGCTGGACGGTAGCTCAATGGTAGAGCGCTTGCCTTGCATGCATGAGGCCCTGGGTTCGATTCCTCTGTACCACATAAGCAGAAAAAGCTGAAAGTGGCGCTGTGGTTCAGGCGGTAGAGCACTTGACTTGAGCTGAAGAGCTGAGGAACAGCGCCCAGGCCCACAGGTCAGGCGCAACGACAAGACAAAAAAAAAGTATACTAGGGATATTGAAGATAGTTCATTGGTTCCCCTAGCAGAATTTCCTTTTTGTCCTACATAGCTTTCTCATGATATTTGCAAGTTTTTTTGATACATAATAGTTATTTGGGGGAAGTCTTCAGTGAATGAAAGGAGATCTGTATGATTATTGAGATGACTGCTAATCTTGGGGAACATTTTGTTACAGTAATCCTGAAATAACTATTTTTGCCACTTCAAAGTACACAGGATATCTATTTCTGAAATAATAAAGATTCCAGCTGAATGGTGAAAAAAAAATATGTAAGCCTTTGGCTGGAGGCATGCCTTAAGCTGTAGAATGTCTACCCAGCATCCACAAACCCAGTATCTTCTCTCCCACAAAAAAAGAATATATGTCATTGGCACATACCTACAATGCCAGCATTCAGGATACAGGAGAATGACAAGTTTCAGGCTAGATTGAAGACTAGCCTGAAATGAGACCCTGTCTCAAAAAAAAAAAAAAAAAAAAAAAGAGAATTTGGGACTCGAGTTGAGAACATAGTTCAGCAGTAGGATGCTTGTCTAGTAATAATGATTATTAAGTAAGAAATCATAAATTCCAAGTGTAGAAAACTTCATAGATAATACATAATGCATTCTAATAACTCACAGAATTGATAAGATGATCTGTTTCTCGGGAATTCATTGCCTTAGAAATCCAATTATTAAAGTCATACAAACTGTAAATAAAAGACAATGGATTTTCTTTAATTAGACTTTTCAAAATATTTGTAAGTTAGATGGATATAAAATTAAGGCTTATATTCTACAATAATAAATTAAATATTAACATTCTGAAAGATTTTTATTAACATAAAAACAAAAATCTAAGCTAAGAACCAATGTTTCATGTATATAACCCAAGCTACTTGGGAGGCTGAAATAGGAAGGATCATAGTTACAGGCCAGCCCTGGCAGAAAAGTTCTTGAAACTCCTTCTCAATCTATAGCTGAATGATAGATAGCATGCACCTATCATTTTAGGTGCATTTTAGGTGCATTTTAGGTGGAACGCTGAGATTAAGAAGAAAGAACTTCCAGGCTAGCTTGAACAGAAAAGTCCAGGAAACTCCAATGGAAAATGGGAGTGGTCATCATAGCTACAGCCAGGAAAACTAAAATAAGAGTATCACAGTCTAGATGTGGGAAGGAAGCAACACCCTATCTTTGGTGCCCATGGTCACTAGTCATTTGGGGAAGGATGGGAATATATGCCTGGAATAGACACTTCTGACTTCTGCGGACCTCTCAGCAGAATATAAAATTTGTTCCACTGCACCATAAATCTGTCTTAATGGTCAAAAGATTAAGTAGCATGTTTTTTGTAATCAGCAAAAAACAAAACAAGAAAAAGAAGTTTTATCGAAGAAATAGATATGACAACTTCAAGGTCTAACATCCACATATGAGAGAAAACATGTTAACTTTTTCTAGAGCCGGGCACCAGTGGCTCACACCTGTAATCCTAGCTACTCAGGAAGCTGAGATCTGAGGATCGCGTTCAAAGCCAGCCCGAGCAGGAGAGTCCATGAGACTCTTATTTCCAATAAACCACTAGACAACCGGAAGTGGTGCTGTGGCTCAAGCGGTAGAGTGCTCGCCTTGAGCTGAAGAGCACAGTGACAGCACCCAAGCTGAGAGTTCAAGCCCCGTGACATACCAAAAAAAAACAACAAAGAACTTTTTCTGGAACCTAGCTTATTTCACTTTATATGCTATTAGTTTCATCCATTCCTTGTAAATGACATGTTATGATTTCCTTTTTTATGGCTGAAATTTATACATATATAAGAAAATATACATACATGTACATACATGTATATATATATATATATATAAAATATACCTCAAAGCACTAATATACCTCATAAAATATAAAACATATCTCAAAGCACTTCCAGTATTGGAAGATAAAAAAAAAAATAAAAAGTAAATCTTAGCCTGGCAAAAACAAAGCTATCCATATGTTTTGCATTAACTTTGCCACATTTAAATTACCCAGTACATAGATCTGCCCCTCTCTTGTCATTAAAAGCTTGTACAGATAAGACACTAGAATAATGAATCATCATTTGGCTTCACCAAATATCTACATGCAGCCAATCTTATTTCATTTATAGTTCTATTCTCTGCCTTTCATCTCTGCTGTGATTATTATAAAAAATCTCAGGCATCATATCATTTTATCTACATATATATCAGCATATATATCAGTATCATTAAAAGATAAAACTATTTTACATATAAACATAATCCATATATCAAATAATAGTTTAAAGATGAGCAATAAGTCCTTATTATGACCACATAGCCAGTTCAGTTTCCTTGTCTAACATTTTTATAGTTCTATTGCCAAAGTTAATATTCATACAAAATCCAGATAGTCAATCCGTCCATTTGTAATTTCTTTTCCTCACAACATAATTCTCATTTTGAGTTTATTTAGCATTGCTTATGTCATTGTCACATGAAAAATATTAAAACAGCTAAGGAAGGGCATAAAAAGTTGAGATAACTAGGAAAAAATTAAAACACTAATTCTCTTGTACATATGTGTTCTCCAAATGAAAGGGAGCTTCTTTATTCTTCCTTTTTTTCTGATTTAGATACTTCTGATTTAGATAGTGATTTAGTCCAGATACTTCTCTGGACTTTCTGCAGGTATTTTTGGAAAGCATTCAGGCAAGAAATAGAAAATAATCACACTGTCGTCAACAACAGCATATTGCACATAAACAAGAGAGGCAAAATCAAGTGCAAAGATTCTGCAGTGGGTAAAGACAGAATTTCTCCTCTTTGCAAGTGTTTGACCTCAGTTTGATGCCAGGATGAGCAGGAAAGACCATGAGACTCTTACCTCTAATTAACTATCACAAACCAAGAAGTGCAACTATGGCTCAAATGGTAGAGCTCTAGCTTTAAGCAAAAAAGTTCAGGGATGGTGCATAGACCAGTCTCAGGACTGGCACCAAAAAAAAAGTCATTTTAGCTACTCCATTTGGACAGAATAATGTTCAGAATAATGTTTGGTGGGTCAGACTACCCAGGTCATATTCTTCCCAATAACTTACCTCATCAAAAGCTTTAGGAAGGATATTGCAATGATGAATGCTAAACCAACAAGGAATGCAATAGTTACAGCTATGAAATAGGAAGAAAAACATTATCACCAAAAATGCCATCATAAGCATCAAAGTTCTTAGGTCATTACATTTATCAATGAAAATGAAAATAAATTTCAGAAAAGCTTAGATTTTTATGTTAGATTTCCTATGAACAATTAAGAATGCCCTTTATGAGGGAATCTTTATTACCTTTATTGTGAAATATACCAACCATACGAAAGGTACAGAGAACTGTATTTATCCACATATATCTATGACCCAGATTCCAGATCTATCAACATATTGTCACACTTGGGGCTGGGTTTTAGTTCAAGACATAGCACTTGCCTAACATTTGCAAAGTGCTGGGTTTGTTCTCCAGCCTGCAAAAACAAAATTAATTATCACTCTTCTTTCTCCTATTACTAGCCCTCTCCTCTTTTGGCTGACAGTGTGTGTGTGTGTGTGTGTGTGTGTGTGTGTGTGTGTGTGTGTGTGTGTGTGTGTGTGTGTGTGTGTGTGTGTGTGTGTGTGTGTGTGTGTGTCTGTGTGTGTGTGTGTGTCTGTGTGTGTGTGTGTGTCTGTGTGTGTGTCTGTGTGTGTGTCTGTGTGTGTGTCTGTGTGTGTCTGTGTCTGTGTGTCTGTGTCTGTGTCTGTCTGTCTATCTGTCTGTCTGTCTGTCTGTTCTGGACCTTGAACTCTGGGCATGGGCACTAGCCCTCTCCTCTTTTGGCTGACAGAGTGTGTGTGTCTCTGTGTATGTGTGTGTCTGTGTGTGTCTGTGTGTCTGTGTGTCTGTTTTGGAGCTTGAACTCTGGGCTTGGGCGCTGTCCCTAAGCTTTTATTTGCTCAAGGCTAGCATTCTACCACTTGAGCCACAGCTCTACTTCCTGGTTTTCTGGTACTTACTTGGAGATATGAATTTCAATGCTTTCCTGGGAGGGCTGGCTTTAAACAGTGATCCTCTGATCTCAGCCAACTAAACTGAGAGGATTACAGGCATGAGCCTCCAGCACCCAGGTCTAACTTATTTTAAATCCCAGGTATCATGCCCCTTCATCCCTACATACTTCATGATGTCATTCAAAAGACAAACTGACTTCATGTGTCTCCTGACTATATTGAGAATACCACATCACCCTGGTAGCATTACTAAAAATTGCAAAACTTCTACCCATTCATGAGAAAATATGAAACAAATATAAATCCAAGGACAACTTACAAAACAATTAGCCAAGATTATGAAAGACAGAGAAAGGCAGAGTTCTGACAACTAAATGGATTGAGGGACCCTGAATTTGATCATGGACCAGAAAAAAGACATTAAAAACATAACTGAGGAATTTAAATGTCTGGAGATCAGTACTGTATGAATGTTAACTTCCTGTCCTCAATAATATAACAAGATTATACAAATTGCATTACACTATCACACTAAGGGTATAAGAGAAATGCAGGATATTTGGGAACTTTTTGCAATTTTTCTGTAAACGTAAAACTATTTTACAACCACAATGTTGTACAAATTGAACAATCATTTGCTTTGATAATATGGAGGAGCTGAATGGTGAAAGCCTGAACCCCTAGTGTAAAATTCTTCTGTCAGATGGTTATTTGCCTATGTCAATTATTTCATCAGCAGTGGCAAATATCCTATCAATCTATCACTTTATTCATGAAATAATTCACTCACATTTAGGTACTTACACTAACCTGTTACAGTTAGAACAGGAAAAACAGAATATGCTAATATTATTCCTTTTTTTTCAATTTTATCTTTTTTTCATTTTGGGTTTGTTTTGTGGGATTTGTTTTGGTTTTTATTTTCTCTGTTTGCTTGTTTGTTTTTGCTCTTTTTGAGACAGGATCCTGTTATGTAGTCCAAGCTGTCCTAAAACTTGCTATATAACCCAGGCTACCATAAATTCAAGATCCTTCCTAAGTACTAGAATACAGGTATACAATATTGTTTTCAGCAAAATCTTTCAACTGATAGTTGATTTAAAATTCAACCTAGTCAAAATCAGGTGCTCTTGTCACCACCAGAGGCAATCAAAGTTCTTTTTAGTTTTATAACAATCCTTTGGATATTGCATTGAATTTGTAGATAGCTTTGGGCACTATTGCCATTTTCACGATGTTAATCCTTCCAATGCAGGAGCATGAAAGGTTTTTCCATGTCCTTAAATCTGCTTTAATTTCTTTTTTAGATTTTTTAAATTTTCATCACAAAGGTCCTTCACATCTTTGGTTAGGTTAATTCCTAGATATTTTAATTTTTTGAGGCTATTACAATGGAGTTGCTTTCCTAATTTCAATCTTACTCTTCTCATTGTTAGCATACAGAAAAGCTATCAATTTTAGGAGTTAATTCTATACCCTGCTACTTCACCAACATTTCAGTTCAGCTCAAGTAACTTGGGAGAGGAATCTATAGGGTGCTTTAAATATAGGATCATGTTATCTGCGAGGAGGGACAGTGTTACTTCTTTCCCTTTTTGGATCCCCTTTATGTTTTCTCTTGCCTTATTGCTCTTGCTAAGAATTCCAGTTCTATATTGAAGAAGAGTAGAGAGAGTGGACATCCTTGTCTCATTCCTGATTTTAGAGGAAATATTTTTGACTTTTCACCATTAACTTTAATGCTGGCTGTAGGTTTATCATATACACAGCCTTTATTATATTGAGGAATCCATATCCATTTATTATATTGATTATATGGATTCCTAGTCCTCCCAAAACACTCAAAAAACAACAACCAATTAATAAATGGCCTAAAGACTTAAAGAGAGACTTCTCAGAAGAAGGAAGAATGACCAATAAACACATGAACATCTCTAGCCATTCAACATATCTCTAGCCATAAAAGAAATGAAAATCAAAACAACATTGAGATTCCACCTCACTCCAGTTAGAATGGCCATTATCAAAAAAAATTAACAATAACAAATGCTGGCAGGGATGTAGTCAAAGGGGAACAGTACTACACTGTTGGTGGGAATATAAACTTGCTCAGCCACTCTGGAAAGGGATATGGAGGTTTCTCAAAAGACCAAACATATATGGAATCAGCCCAAATTCCCCTCAGTAGATGAATGGATCAAGAAAATGTGGTATATATACACCATGGAATTCTATGCTTCCATCAAAAAGAATGGCATTGCCCCATAAGTAAGGAAATGGGAAGACTTGCAAAAACTATATATTAAGCGAAGTAAACTAGACCTAAATAAACATAGGTTGCGTGATTTCCCTCATTTGTAGTAATTAGAATGTGCCTATAAATCTACAAGTAATCACAATGGATAGTAAAAGATAAAAAAAAATTACTTGGACATAAACAGAATTCTAAACATTCACACAGTGAGACCAAAAGAGGATATTCTTAGGAGAGGATCATAAAGGCTCAATAGCTATGTGCATATGATCATATAAAATAATGTTTATTGAAATCAACTCCAAGAAATTGAAACATGAGGCTTTTTTTTTCTTTTTTTCCTTTGTCAATTGTGGGCTTGAACTAAGGGTCTGGGCACTGTCCCTGAACCTCTTTGTGCTCAAGGATTACACTCTACCAATTGAGCCACAGCACTTCCAGTTTTTGAGTGGTTAATTGGAGATAGGAGTCTCACGGACTTTCTTGCCCAGGTTGGCTTTGAACCGCGATCCTCAGATCTCAGCCTCCTGAGTAGGTAGGATTACAGGCCTGAGCTGCTCTGGCGCCCAGCTTCATTCTTTTTCTAATGATTTAATTGTCCCCTATTGTGGTCCTTTACATTGACTCTTATATTCCTTTTAAATAACCTCAGGCTCCTTGTGACCAGTCTTTGTAACCACCCAGATTCACTATTAATTTCTGAAAGTCAACACACATAGTATTATCTGAAGGATGATGAAGAGTAACAGATTTTCTTCAGTGGGCTTCTTAGAGAAAAAAGAACCCTCCTTAACATAAAGGTCTATTGGTATAAGCCACACAGGGAATACATCTTAAAACCCAAACCAAGGATAGTTAAACACTAATTCTAGTTTCTTTCCACTGCATTAACCTTTTGATTTATTTGTACTTCACAATTAAATTTAATCAGAAATAAACTTATTAAAATACGTTAATATATCATATATTGCATTAGTATATTTTCTTAGTATATATCCATGACACAATAAAAACATTGTAACTGGAACTAGGAGTATAGCTCAGTGACAGAACATGTGCTTAACGTGTTCAAAGCCTTGAATTTGATCCTCACTACCAAAAGAAAATAATTATTACACTTATGCCATAACTAAATGATTTAAATAATCTATAATCTACATTTTAAACTATTTAAAATTTCATGAATTGCTTCATTTTGTAATACTTTATAACAAAAAAACAGAATTAAAGTGCATGTACATACGAAGGTTACTGTCAACCGGATTCTTATTAACTACAAGGTCACAGGTAATTTCACCTACTCCATTGCTGGTGTGCTTTACCAAGACAGAATAGTTTCCAAACTCTCCAAATTTGTATTCTAGCCTACAAAGAAAGGGTAAAATTAAGACAAATGGTTAGATTTTCAAAAAAAATATTGTCTTTGTTAATTGTCATATAGAATATTCATTCTTAGCTACAGATCAGGAAAGATAAAGACAAATATTTTAATGAGAAAAAATGTAGAAAAAAAAAAGCAAAGAGAAAAATACAGACTTCAATTAGTTCAAATCAAACCAGGCACAAACCTACAAATTTCTTTCTCTTCCAAGCTATCATTAATGTGTAGAATGGATCCATGCTGGGTACTAAGAGAGACAGCTGCGATGCTTGGCTTCCCTGGTTTTCCACCATGAGAAACATTTACCAGAAACTGAAACAAGCACTGTAAGATAAAAACGTAAGATTTTTTTGTTTTGTTTTGTTTTGTTTCCTAGAGGGTTTTCAGTGATGCTAGGGATCTAACCCAGGGCTTTACGCATTCTAAGCATGTGCTTTACCACTGAGCCATACCTCTAGCCCTGTTAGACATTTCTAAGTCTTACAGATTATATATATTTTTTTTTGGGGGGGGGGGGCGGTCCGGTCGTGGGCCTGGGCGCTGTCCCTCAGGTCTTCAGCTCAAAGCTAGCATTCTACCACTTGAGCCAGAGCGTCACTTCCGGCTTTTTTCTTTTTGCTTATGTAGTGCTGAGGAATCGAACTCAGGGCCTCATGCATGCAAGGCACGTGCTCTACCACTGAGCCACCTTCCCAGCCCCGTCTTACAGTATTTAAAGGACATGAGCACCCATCTGAATATCCTAACATGACTTTTTCTTCATACTCATAAAACTTTTAGATCTCAATAAGAGATAAAATTTACCAACTATTTTTTATTAAAATAATGACTGTCCAAATATAATTGAACTAATTTTATTCATATTTCACTAATAGATTACATTAAATCTTGAATCCTTATGTTTTACTAAAAAAATATTTAACAAGTAAACTTACAGAACTCTAATGTACATATTTACAATATTTGATGGATGCATAATATCTCATCAACTTCTTAATATGTATTTAGGATAAATTTCAAGGTTTTTGTTTTATCTTCTTGTTTTTTGTATTATAAAAATATTACTTTAAAAGATCAATAATACATGAGATTCTTACTTCTTTCTTTCCCAAAGGTAAACTTCCAAAAGTGAGATTACTAGATAAAATAAGCATTTCAGTAACTTCCATTATAAATGGCCAAATAGTATTCAAGTAAAATTAGAACAAGTTAATTCATCATAAGCTTTACCAGGATTTAAAATCATTTCCCTTTTGGTTTATTTACTAGGTATTTATAGCACTGCACTAAAAATGCAGTATGAATCAATAGACTAAATAAAGTCAGCATGTTGGGCTGGGAAGGTGGCTCAGTGGTAGAGCGCTTGCCTTGCATGCCTGAGGTCCTGGGTTTGATTCCTCAGCACCACATAAGCAAAAAGAAAAAAAGCCGGAAGTGGTGTTGTGGCTTAAGTGGTAGAGAGCTAGCCCTGAGCTGAAGAGCTGAGGGACAGCGCCCAGGCCCAGAGTTCAGGCCCTATGACTGGACCCAAAAAAATAATAATAATAAAGTCAGCATGTTTGATACTGTTTCCTACAGTGTGTGAACCATCAGTTATATCTCATGTTTTATTGAACATTATTAAAAATATGCTTTTCTATTGTGATATTTTTTACTACGTCAAATATTTCTGCATTCTAGTTTTTTTCCTTTTCATTTTCTTATATTTTGTTGTTTTTAAATTTTTATTTGAACATACTAATCTAATTTCACTTATTTCTTGTTACTTCATTAACTTAAAAATATTTTCATTCTTTTCCATTTTTTTTAAGTTGGTAGATTTTATTTTTCAAGTTGACTGTTTTTAGAGTGTGTGATAAATTGTTTACAAACCCTTAAAATATTACATAAATTCAACTTGGTGCCAGCGGTTCATGCCTGAAAATCGTAGCTACTCAAAAGGCTGAGATCTGAGGATCACAGTTCAAAGCCAGTCTGGAAAAGATATGGCAGGAAAGTCTGTGAGACTCATTTCCAATTAATCACAGTGCTGGAAGTGGCACTGTAGCTCAAGTGGTAGAGTGCTGGCCTTGAGCAAAAGAGTTCAGGGACAGTGCCCAGGCCCAGAGTTCAACTCCCAAGACTGGCAAAAAAAAATTACATAAATTCAATTTTACTTTTTTTTGTGCCAGTCCTGAAGCTTAAACTTAGGGCCCTGTCTTTGAGCTAGTGTTCTAGCTTGAGCTCCATTTATGGCTTTTTAGTAGCTAATTAGATATAAGAGTCTCATGGATTTTCCTGCATGTTCTGGCTTCAAACTATGATGCTCAGTGTTCGCTTAGGCAGCATATATACAAACTATGATGCTCATATCTCAGCCTCTTGAGTAGATTAACTGTACTTTTTATATTTATTTTGGTATGTTAGTTAAAAAGACCAAGGTCTTTTTTGGCTACAAAGTGACTGTAGCTTCATCATATATGTTATCTGCTACAGTAAGTCTCTGCATTGCCCAGTGTTTTGGGCCACCAGGAATCTTTGGCTCATTTACTTTTTCATGTGAAATCCAGAATTATTTATGCAGATTATACAAAACATTCTATAGCAATTGTGCTCAATATCTGAATAAACATAGGAAGTGCTACTGTTTTTCCTATGGTAATCGTCACCTCAGTACATTAACTATCTCTCCATTTAGCCTGTATGTTTCCTGTCAAAATTTTATCACTTCCTTTACACTGATGCCTACTGAAACTGTCACTAGTATAATCTTTGCATATGCTATTTATTCTGATAGAATTTTTAAAATTTGACATTGATATTGGCCTGTATTTCTCTCCATGTCTTTGCCAGGTTTTAAATTTAACAGCCCGCCGGGTGCCAGTGGCTCACGCTTGTAATCCTAGCTACTCAGGAGGCTGGCACCCCACCTATATTGCAGAAATCAAACAGCAAGTCCATTTCCTTTAGGGAGGCATGGGAGCTAGATTCATATAGGATAAGAATAATTTATTGAGGGGCTGGGAAGGTGGCTCAGTGGTAGAGCGCTTGCCTTGCATGCCTGAGGCCCTGGGTTCGATTCCTCAGCACCACATAAGCAAAATGAAAAAAGCCGGAAGTGGCGCTATGGCTCAAGTGGTAGAGCACTAGCCTTGAGCTGAAGAGCTGAGGGACAGCGCCCAGGCCCAGAGTTCAGGCCCCACAACCGGACCCAAAAAAAAAAAAAAAGAATAATTTATTGAAAGTTCCAAAAAATTAGGTGAAGAAATGTTATAACTTTTCCAATTTCATTATCTAGTTTTTATGTTCTCAATTTCTTGAGACAATTTTCATATTATATTTTAAGAAAATGGAAAAACTGGGCTGGGAAGGTGGCTCAGTGGCAGAGTGCTTGGCTTGCATGCATGAGGCCCTGAGTTCGATTCCTCAGCACCACATGAACAGAAAAAGTCAGAAGTGGTGTTGTGGCTCAAGTGGTGGAGCACTAGCCTTGAGCTGGGGGAGAGTGCCCAGGCCCAGAATTCAGGTGCCATGACCCACAAAAGTAAAAAAAGAAAGAAAGAAATAGAAAATGGAAAAACTAATTCCATAGCTGGCATAGGAGTGTATGACTATAATTCCAGCTATTCAGGAGACAGAGGCAGAAGGACCCTGAGTTCAAGGCCTGCCCTAGAAAATGTAGCAAGACCGATCTCAAGAAAAAAAAAAAAAAAAGATCATGCAATCGTTTCTAACATATTTATAAGATGATTTCTATGTTGCTCTGTATGTCCCTCCCCCCATGGTATAACCCATGCTTTCACTGTATTTGATGTTGGTATTATTTGTGGAGGAGAAGGGAAAAAACAAATCGTTTAACTAGGGATACAGGTGGAACCATTACAACAATGAGATGTCCAAGTCATTATGTCGAAAAATGAACTTTACAACTTTGGTGGGGGGTGGGGGGAGGATCAGGTGGGGGGAGGGCGGTGTATGGGAAGGGATGGAAAGGGGAAACAAAGAGGAGGCAAAAATGCTTGATAAGAAATGTACTTGTTATCTTGCCCCTGTAATTGTAACTCCTCTGTATGGTATTCTCACAATTAAAAAAAAAAAAAAAGAAAGAAAGAAAGAAAGAAAAAGCTGGGTGTGATGGCACAAGGCCATGTTCTAGCTCCGTGAGAGGCAGAGATCATGGTTTAAGTCCAGCTCAAACAAAAATGTTCACAACATTCAATCTCAATCAATGGAAAGGCATACTGTTGTGTGCCTATCATCACAGTGACATGAAAAAGCACAAGTAGGAGAATCATAATCCAGGCTAGTTCAGGCATAAAACAAGACTCTATCTCACTAATAACCAACCCAGAAAAGGGATTGGAGGAATGGTTCAAGTGGTAGACCACCTGTCTATCAAGCATGAGGCTCTCAGCCTAAACCCAGAAAATGACAAAAATAAAACCAAATAAAGAAATGACAGAAAAATGGACCTAATCCTCAGGCCCACCAAAAAAAAGAGAGAGAAGAGAAAAAGAAAAATTGCCAAAGATTGAAAACTAGGTCTCAAACTCATCTTCTCCTTCCTCAGCCTCCCAAAAGCTAGGATTATAGAAGTCTGCCATAACACCTACTATATTTTGAATCTCAAATTTATTACCTAATAAATTTCATTAATCTATTCACAATATAATTCTTTTAATTTCAGGTTATCTTGATCTTAATTTCAAATTTTCTCAAATATTATTGTTCCCTTAAATTTGTCAACTGTGTGACCTTTTAAAATATTATAACTCATATCTTCACTTATTTTTCTTTTATTGTTGTTTATATTTACATTGTTTGCCTTCCAAAACTTTGAGAGCACTTTGAACAGTTTTGCATTTCCCTTTTTCTTTCTGATTAGGAAAGAAGAATTCTGAGAAAGCTCCAAAAGGTGTAAATTCCCATGCTGTCACCTAACAGTTATGCAACCAGAAAAAAGTCACTATCTTTTACTTAATCTCAGAATTATTTATAAAATCTTCTCTACTGCATGGAAGTGGCGCTGTAGCTCAAGTGGTAGAGCGCTCGCCTTGAGCTGAAGAGCTGAGGGACAGCGCCCAGGCCCAGAGTTCAAGCCCCATGACCGACAAAAAAAAAAAAAAAAAAAAAAAAATCTTCTCTACTGCATTACCTCTCCATTGGATTGCTATAAGGATTAAATTAAGTATCCTAAGACATAGAACAAGCCCTCAGCTATAACAGTACCTGTGGCATTTATTATCAACTTTGTTAAAAATACTTAAAATATTTTCATAGTAATTACTTTGGCCTGGCCTCAATATTTTTCTATTAAATATTTAATGTTTGTATCATAGCTTTTATTGTGTTTGTTTTCTATTTGGCAGAGAAATGGGATTGCAAGATGTACAACTGTTTTTTTATAAATTCTATTATTCTTTTAGGTTTATAGGCAAAGACACTGAGGAACAGTGCACAAAAAATATTATATTCAAGGTTACAAAGTGACAGAGGAGTACTCCAATCTGGAATTTTGGCTATAAAATCCACACTTTTTAACTTTACCACTATTACTCTGTTACAGTCTGATGGAAGTATGTTATTTGTCTCTACATTTTCATTTTGTAGTTTCTACCATTGTTTTCTGTATTCTTTGGAGACACATAAATTTAGAGCCTTCTTATTTTGTATATTTAGTAAATATTTATTGTAAATATTTATGTAAATGCTAAAGCTTAACCGGTCCCTTACATTCCAACATCTACTTCATGTTCCAACATCTACTTCATCATAAAGTATCTATTATAATGGGGGTTTTTTTGGTAATGGGGCTTAAACTATGGGCCTGGGTGTTATCCCTGAGCTCTTCAGCTCAAGGAGAGCACTCTACCACTTGAACCACAGTGCCACTTTTGGTTTTCTGGTGGTTTACTAGAGATAAGAGTCTCAAAGACTTTCCTGCCTGGGCTGGCTTTGAACCACAATCCTCAGATCTCTGCCTCCTGAGTAGCTAGGATTACAGGCATGAGCCACCAGCATCTAGCTGATTTTTTTTTTCCCCCATACTGGGTTCAAACTGAGGGCTTTGTTCTAACTAGGAATATGCTCTACCATTCAGCAACACCTCCAGCCCTGTTTTCAGCTATGGTTACTTTTTAGATAGGGTCTTACTTTTGATTATATCTCCTCTAATTCTTATTTATTTTCTTAACCTGTCCAAGTGCAGGGAAAAGAGTTTTAGATTAGAGCAATAAGGACTGAATAAAACAAACTCCAAAGGAAATAAAACTGTGAATATACACACAATACATACACAATAACAATATTCAGACTTCCAGTAGACAGCCAAGTTTGTTTCTAGCAGTTCATTATGAATGAGTAGCAGAGCCTGATCCATCTTCAGTTCCACATGTTTGTTTTTTTCTAAATCTAATAAGAATTAGGAAGAAATGCAACTTAATAGTTTCCATATAATAATATAAGCTAAATTTTTCTTCATTTTACATATACAGATTAAAGCCCAAAAGAGTTTTGACCATGCCCATGAAAATTTTTCAGTGACATCACTGATCTGAACCAAAGTTGTTCAATTTCAAAACCCAAATATTCCTCAGCCATAATACCATATTGTGAACTCAAAAGCCTGGGCAGCTTGTTGGAAATGCAAAATTCTGCCCTTCTGAGTCACAGTAGACCTGTTTCCTATTACAAGGGCACCAATTTAATGGTGCTAATTTACCATGGTAACTGTGTTATTGTAGATACCCAAATCATGCTCTTCCTGCATGCCATAACAGCCCTGTAAAATAGTTCTTGCCTCAAGTCTATGGCTTCAGCATTCCAAGTAGCTAGGACTAAAGGTACATGCCACTATGAATCCAAAAAGGATCAAGGAACTTGTCCAAGGTCAGAATCTGCTAGCAGCCAGGATATAAACTGAGATAGCCAGCCAAATACACCTAACCTCTAGGTTACAAAGCTCCTTTAGCAGCTGAACAAAGATTAGCCTTTTAAATTTTTTCCTGACTTTTTTTTTTTTGGGGGGGGGGGGGGGGGGGTCCGGTCGTGGGGCCTGAACTCTGGGCCCGGGCGCTGTCCCTCAGCTCTTCAGCTCAAGGCTAGCGCTCTACCACTTGAGCCACAGTGCCACTTCCGGCTTTTTTCTTTTTGCTTATGTGGTGCTGAGGAATCGAACCCAGGGCCTCAGGCATGCAAGGCAAGCACTCTACCACTGAGCTACCTTCCCAGCCCTTTTTCCCGACTTTTTAACTTGACAAATATCTTAATTAATCATGAGCATGTGTAAACATGTTTTCCACCAATGTTTTCATGAGAATTGTTGAAATAGTTAATTTAACCCCAAAGGCTTTCTTAGGTATTTGCATTAAGTGTGTGTGTATGTGTGTGTGTGTGTGTGTGTGTGTGTGTGTGTGTGTGTACAGGACAGGTCCTGTACTGTCCCTTAATTTTTTTCGCTCAAGACAGGCACTCTTCCACTTGAGCCACAACTCCACCGAGATAAACTCAGAACTGCTTAGAACTGAAATTCTCTTACCTCAGCCTCCTGAGTAGCAAGGATTACAGGCATGAGCCAAAAGCACCATGTCCAATTTTTATTTTCCACCCTTTCCCCCGGTGAGCTCTGGGACAAAGTAAGTTGGGGATCACTGGATGAACTGCTTCTCCTGTCCCAGCTGCACAGTATTCAGCAGAGGCAGAAGCCCCCCAGCCGGCCTCCTGCCCTCTCCGGCCCTGGGGCAGTCCTCCTCCCCACAACACAAAGCTCAGGCAGTCAGGAAGTCCAGCCTCCACTTCTGAACGTTAATCGAAGAGGCGAGCGTGGTAGTTCCCCAAAGACACCTCGGGCAGCCCTCCGCTGCCACCTCTCACCCCTGGACGCCATTTGCGCGGGATTTAATCCCAGTACAGACCAAGGGCCGCGAGTTCTACTCCGCCACGTTCCCTGCCGACCAGACCTAGGGGAAAGGCCTGCATTTTTGTGCTGCATACTAGATGAAAGTCAGTTTTGCAGCGATCGAGTAACGAGTGTCTAGATTAAAGGCTTCTCTCCACGGAAGACGCGGCCGGAGGGCAGCCCAGCCCCGGCGCCTTCCTCTCCACACAGCCAGTGCGCCTGGGCCTTCACCGCGGGGTGGGGGGAACGGGGCAGGGGCCACTCTCTCCCTGCCAAGAGGACTGCAGCCGGAAGCGCCTAGGCCAGGCGGCCAGGACTGCAGCGGTTCAGGCTGGAGGCGGAGCGCTCAGGCTCAGCATCCCAGGCCCCCGAGTCTTTCCCAGCAGGGAATTGCCGCGAGAAGACACGGAGTGGGCGGGACTGTGCTCACCCGGCTGCCGGGAGGGAGGGGAGAGAAGGCGGCAGCAGTCTGGTGCGCACTCACAAAGCTCCAGAGGGGGCAGCCAGGAGAGCGCTCACCAGGCTGGGGGGGGGGAGGGGGCGGGGGGGGGGGCGGAGCTCAGCGCTCTCTAGGCTCCGGGGAGCCTGGGGGGGGGGGGGGGGGGGCACTGGCAACCGGGCCTGCGCTTACCTGGCTCCCAGGAGTCGCCAGGGGCAAGCATTGTGGCACTCAATACCGACGCCAGAAGCAGCAGCACGGCCAGCACCGGGCCTGCGACCCGCGCCACACTCATCCCTACGTCCGGAGCCTGCTTCGCCTGTGCTTCTGGACCGCTGCGCCCGGCTCTGAGGCCTCTCCACTGCTGTGGACCACGTGCTCGACATCTCCTCCCCCTCATACATCATCACTGCCTCCGCCTGAGGTGCCCGAGGGAGAGGCCCGGGAATCCCGGCTCCAGTGACTGGAGCTGGGCCCTCACAGGGCAGCGCAGTACGAAGGAGGGGCCTGGTGGCCTGCCTTTGAGGAAGCTGAGCCAGAGCTCTGGCACCGGATCTGTGCTTCCTACCCAGAACCACCTCACACACACACGCAATTGTTTTTTAAAGAGAAGCAAAGAAAAATCTACTCTCATGAGCAAACCGTGTTTCTTCTCTAGAGAAGAGAAATATCTAGAAGAGAAGCCTTTACTCCCCAATCCTTTTCAGGTTTCCTAAGCAACCTTTGCTAAATCCCTGCTCTTGTCATTCATCATACCGGTAAGAGTTTAGAGTCCTCTAGAAAACGCCATGGTAAACAAGACTACATAGTCCCCTCCCCTGTGCCTCTCCTTATCCAAAATGCATTAAAAGCTACCTTGTGTTGCCAATCCCGCATGAGTTTAAAATGCGAGAGGAGGAAGGAGGATTTTGCATCCATTTCTGACTGTATAGCCAGAGAAACTTTCACATTTATAAAACTACTAGTATGATACTTGTTACTAATATGTTTGCAGTAGCAAACACAGTCAACAATCGGAATGTACATCAGTGGGAAGGCAAATTGTTTTTTATTATCTTTCAGCAATTGTACAAAAAGGATTTCAGTTCATGATACCTGTTTATGAGTAGAATGCATCTTTTTTTTTTTTGGGGGGGGGGGGGTCCGGTCATGAGGCCTGAACGCTGTCCCTCAGCTCTTCAGCTCAAGGCTAGAGCTCTACCACTTGAGCCACAGCGCCACTTCCGGCTTTTTTCTTTTTGCTTATGTGGTACTGAGGAATCCAACCCAGGGCCTCAGGCATTCAAGGCAAGCGCTCTACCACTGAGCCACCTTCCCAGCCCAGTACAATGCATCTTGATCAGTCATTCACCTCTTCTTCATTCCCACTCATCTCTCCCAACCCCACCAACTCCTCAAATTTCCTAGTTCCGTTTTTACATATATACAACTACATTTTCACATATTACAACTACATTTTCCCACCCTTCCTCTGCTCACTCAGAAATAAACTATGATATAATATACAATAGTGGAAATGATCGAGAGTTTCATATGTTCAGCTATGAGGAAGAAGTGTACTGAAGGGAAATGTCCAACACCTTTGGAATAACATATAAAATAATGTAAAACAACACTACATTATTTAGGAATATGTACACATGTAATAAAGTGTACAGAGACATGAAATAGTAAACATAAAATTCAAGTAATGATTGAGAGTAGGGAGAAAGTACAGTATTAGGCCAAGTTCATAGTGGGCTTCAGCTGCCAGCATTATATTGTGAAGTTGAACATTAAATAGGTATACTGGTATACCCTGTATACTTTTCTCTTTTTTTTTTTTTGCTAGTCCTAGGGCTTGAACTCAGGGTTTGGGCACTGTCCCTCAGCTTCTTTTGCTCAAGGCTAGCACTATCCTGCTTGAGCCACAAGCACCACTTCTGGCTTTTTCTGTGTATGTGGTACTGAGGAATCAAACTCAGGGCTCATGCATGCTAGGCAAGTACTCTACCACTTAGCCACATTCCCAGCCCCTCTCATGTTTGTGTGTGTGTGTGTGTGTGTGTGTGTGTGTGTGTGTGTGTGTGTGTGTGTGTTTCCTGAGCCTTGACTCAGGGGGACTAGGCTGTGTTGCATAGCTTTCCCTACTCCCTAGCTTAAAGCTACCACTCTACCACTTGAGCCATACTTCCATTTCTAATTTTACTGGTGGTTCATTGGAGATAAAGAATCTCACAGACTTTCCTACTCAAGTGGCTTTGAACTGTGATCCTCAGATAGCAGCTTCCTGAATAGCTAGGAGGCACTAGTGCCTAGCTTCACCCTTTGTTCTTAGTGTGTCTTAATTATTTCAGTGCTCTGTTAGAAGGGGGACACTATATTAAGATAGCACTTGACGAAAGTACCTAAACTAGAGAAAGCTTCCAGGGTATCTGGCATTCACTGTGAACTCTGAGGATAGTAGAAGAAACTTCACACAGAAAGGACAATCTTTACAAGGGCTTAGAGAAAGCACAGCTTAGTCAAGAAGCTGAGAGCAATCCAATAACTGGAGAAGAGTTCTATGAAAGATGGGAAAGGAAGAGAGGTTAACAAGGTGGCAGAGCTGAGTCTATAGGCTTTTTCCTAATGGAAACACGAAGTTGTTCATGAATTTTAAGGTGTAGAATAACTTTTAAGGGAGGTCATGAACTATCTCACAGTCTAATATTCAGTCCAACGATCTTTAACAAAGAAAACAAGCCTCAATGTCAAAATATCAGAAAGTTACTCCTTCCTTTCTCTGCCCAGTGGCCCACTGTTCAAAATCCCTGGATGATGGTACACTAGGATATGACATTCTGGGAAAGCTGTTTGTTCTCAACTAGTCTATTCCTATTTCATGGCCATTACCCATCCACTTAGCAGTGTTTCTCTCTGCCCAACCATGACTTGAACCATAAAGATCTGTGGGTGGTCCTCATTGCTTTCAAGCATAGCTCTTTCAGCTTGGCCAACACCTCCATGCCCAAGAAAGTCTGGAGTTCCTATCTTAGGGCTACAAAAGGGATTTCCCCTTCTTGGAACATCCTCACTATCCATGTGACCTCATGGCTCCCTCTATAAGAACCCCATGGACCCCACCCAAGTTACTCGAGCTGATCCAAAACTTTGGAAAAGTAGAAGGGCATAAAATTAACCCTAAAAAATCAATAGCTTTTCTGTATGCCAATAATCAGGAGTGTGGCTGAAATCAGGAAAGCAACTCCTTTTGTAAATACCTAGGAGTTAACTTAATAAGTGAAGGAGCCAGGCGCCAGTGGCTCATGCCTGTAATCCTAGTTACTTAGGAGGTTGAGATCTGAGGATTGCAGTTCAAAGCCAGCCCGGGCAGGAAAGGCTGAGAGACTCTTATGTCCAATAAACCACCAGAAAACTGGAAGTGGCGCTGTGGATCAAGTGGTAGAGCATTAGCCTTAAGCTGAAGAGCTGAGGGGACAGTGTCCAGGCCCAGAGTTCAAGCCCCAAGACAGGCAAAAAAAAAAAAGAAGTGAAGGACCTCTATGATGGAAACTTTAAAAACTTGAAAAGAGAAATTAAAGCAGAACTAAAGAAGTAGATAAACCTCTCATGTTCCTCTATTCTGAGGATTAACATCGTGAAAATGGCAATACTGCCAAAGGCTATCTACAAATTCCTTGCAATACCTATCAATATCCCAACCTCATTATTCAATGAAATCAAAGAAGCAATCCAAAACTTCGTATGGAACAATAAAAGACCCTGAATAGCAAAAACAATCCTTAGCAGAAAGAACAGTGCTGGAAGAATATCAATACCAAACGTCAAACCCTACTACAAAGCCATAGTAATCAAAACAGCTTGGAACTGGCACAAGAACAGACCTGAGGACCAATGGAATAGAATGGAAGACCCAGAAATGAACCCTCAGACCTATAGCCATCTAATTTTCGATAAGGGAGTTAAAATAGAATGAAAGAAAGACAGCCTCTTCTAGTAAATGATGCTGGCAAAATTGGTTAAACAACTGTAGAAAGCTAAAGCTAGATCCTTATATGTCACTTTTCACCAGAATCTACTCCAAATGGATCAAAGACCTCGAAGTCAAAGCAGACACCATGAAAACATTACAGGAAGGAATAAGAGACACTCTAGGACTCCTTGGCACAGGCTGAAATTTTCTTAATAAAGACTCAGAAACAACAAATCGAAAGGTTGAACAAATGGGATTCCATAAACTGCAGAGCTTCTGCATGGCAAAAGACATAACTAGCAACTTTCTACTGAAAGTGCACAGATTGGGAGAAGATCTCCACTAGCTACAACAGACAAGGGCCTTATATCTAAAATATACTTAGAACTCAAAAAAATTGAATCCCCCAACAACAAATCCTCAAAGAAACCATTGCCTGATTAATAAGTATACTAAAGACTTATAGAGAGACTTCTCTGAAGAGGAAATAATGACCAATAGACACATGAAGAAATGCTCAACTTCTCTGGCAAATCAAGAAAGAAATGCAAATCAAAACAAGATTGAGATTCCACCTCACCCCAGTAGAATTGCTATAATTAAGAAATCTAATAACAACAGATGCTGGAGGGGATGTAGCCAAAAGATAACACTATTACATTGTTGGTGGGAGTATAAACTTGTTCAGTCACACTGGAAAGCTGTATGGAGGTTCCTCAAAAGACTACACATAGAGCTCCCCTATGATCCAGCAATCCTACTTCTGAGCATTTACCCAAATGATCACAAACAAGGCCATACTAAAGCTACCAGCACAATTATGTTTACTGCAGTATTATTCACCATAACTAACATATGGAACCAACCTATATGCCCCTCAGTAGATGAATGGATCAAGAAAATGTGATATATATACAATGGAATTCTATGCCTCCATCAAAAAGAATGACATTGCCCCATATGTAAGGAAATGGAAATACTTGGAAAAAAATCATATTAAGTGAAGTAAGACAGACCCAAAGAAACATAGGTCCCATGGTTTCTCTTATTTGCAATAGTAGGATACATCTAGGATAATCTTAGCAAATGAGCAGAATAGCTCAATAACTATGTACATATGACCATATAAGATGATGCTAAGTGAAATGAACTCCAAGACATGAACACAAGAAGTTTTTCTTTGTTGTTGTTGTTTTTAATGTGATTTTTTTTGTTTTCTTTGAATGCTATTCCCTCTATGGTATATCCCCTGTTGTCACTGTATTTGATTCTGGGACCCTGGTATTGTATATATTTATTTGAACTAGAGAAGGGAAGGGGAACAACAGAATGGTGAGACAAAAGACAAGGGGGAAACCAATGCAACAATGATATACACAAGACAATATGTTGGAAATGATCTGTACAACTTGGGGGGTAGGAACAGGAGGGAGGGAAAG